GTGCAAGAAAGTATTTTGTGTGAACAGTATCTGCATTTTGGCATAAGCTGCAGAGACTTCAGTGCCTTCCTGTGTCACCTGCTGCAGACCTTAAACATGTGACTTACCTACACCATTGTAGGACTCTCCTGCAGCAAGCTCCAGGCCATGGCAGAAACCAGCAGCATAGATGTCATCTCCAAACATGGAGGCTGCATCTGCAGTTCCATTCTGAGCAAAATATATATTCATATTTTTATATTTCCCATTTTATGTCTCACAGATACTTTTTATTTTCTTTTGTAGTCACTTTTTAGATATAACAGTTCCTATTAATGTTAAGAAATTTCAACTGCCATGCATCTGACAGAGCTGATATAAAAATGAATAAAATAAAATAAATTAAATGTACGACAGTTTTTGGTAAGAATCTACTTTCCCCATCAGTTGTTTCTTGTGTACCTTGATTTTTTCCATACAGTCCCTGGTGTTTAAGCCACGGACACACTGCAGTGTTCCTTTTACATTTCGGGCTGTAGCATTTCCGGCCAAATCCAGACACTTCTGCTCCTCAGCATCAGACAGCACACACCAGGAGACTTTTCAAACACAGTAGGGACAAGTTGCAAATTACATATGTGCAAACTTTAAACAGTTAGACCTCAAATTCCACAACTCATGCAGTTCTGCCACTAAAGCCTCCTTTTAAATATACAAACAAGCAGGATTTGATCACTGATGTTTTTAGCATTAACCTCCTAGGACCTGGTGTCCACATATGTTGACTACACATTTTGGGTTGTCTAGACCAAAATATCAAATTTTGCTCTACAAGGGCCTGATATCCACTTACGAGAACGTTACACTGCCACTGTTCTATCGAAATTTAATGTGAATGTCCTCATATGTGAATCTCATTTTTCTCAGAAACAAAAATAAGGTAAAAAAAAAAAATCACGTAATTCTTTGTTTTTACATTCATCAGGTCCAAATCAGCCCAAATAGCAAAGAGAAATTAAAAATGCATGCCATGGAAGAGTTCGGGTCTTAGGAGGTTAATCTGACTATCCAACAGTATTAAATTGATACCTGTAGTTTTTTGATTGGAGAGACATCTGACATACAGAAGAGGCAGAAAAAGCAGGAACGCTGAAAGCAGTCTTCTCCCTGGATACTCCATGTCAGCTCTGGATGGAAACCTGCTTGGGACTAACTCGCTAACACAGCTGAGATGAGAAACAGGTGGAATACATTAAGAAAAGTCACTTGTGTGTCCCTTCCCTCGCTTATTATTTGGTCTTAGGAAGAGAGAGGGTGAAAGGTAAGAGAAAGAGATAGGTAGGCTGACTGTAGAAGAAACCATCACATTATTCCTCTTTCCCCGCCTCTTCAGTTGAAAGTCCTAGTAGATAATCCTTCCTCCATCTCATGACAGCAGTATAGCATTTCCCTCTCTAATTATCCACTGAGACTTATCCCTAGTGGAGAGGATAGTGGTAGAAACATGCAGGCTCGGAGCAGTTCAGGTCACCTGGCACAGAGTGTCGACCGGGGGTCTTTAATTAAAGAAAGCTGCGGATAATGTGTCTCTGTGCTGGAACTCTGTTCCTGGAGAATAGATACTGGCTGGGTCTTGCTCTGACTCACTGGAGACCTAAGCCTCAGGTAAGCAGGAACAAACAGCACTGGCCATTGTTCATGGTCAACGGACCCTGTGGAGGGAAAACGTATTGGATACTTGATACAATTCTCCTTTTCGCTCTCTGCTCTGCACACACATAATAACACATCCACACGCGTACACACAAACACACACGCACAGAAACTCACTGCCATTTTTCTTGACATCTACTGTGCCAATCAATAATTGAAGGAGTCTTCAGAGGTGAAAAGTGAAATTAATATATCATTGAGTCCATATTTTAGGTGCAGTATTATGTAATAATAGATCTGCATGAGAGCTCAGGGCACGAAGAGTCCTGTTGGTTTTCATGAAACTTTTCAGGAAGAGGAAAGTTGGGAGATCTGATCTTCTGCACACTTCAGTGAAGGGACAGGGAGCACAGAAGGACTTTTGAAGTCTAGCACTCACATAATACTGGTGATTAAATGTGGAGTTTTGAGAAATTAGTGAGAGAAAATAGGATTTTCCCAAAAGAACCTGTTTAGATGAACTTCTGAAACATTCAGATCTTTATCTTTAATCATTTGGTTCATATCAATAACTGTGCTATTTTTCCTTTTTTCTATTAATTTTTTACCTTGCAAGCAAGCAAGCAATGTATTTATATAGCACTTTCGGAACAACACAGCTGAACACAAAGTGCTGTACACTTGGCATGCCAAAAATGATACATGAATATGTTTTAAAAAAAAGAAAGAAAAAAAAAAGATTTACCCTAAATAAATAAATAAAAACTTAAAATCATAAAATAAGCACAAATAGCACAAAAAAAAGTATAAAATGATAATTAGAATTAAAAACAATAAAATGTACACAATAGATTCAAAACAATAAAATCAATAAAATCAGGGTCATACAGTGTCATATGTAAAAATGGTTTTTAAGACGCGTTTTAAAACCACCATTGACCACCATCACTGTAAATGTTTTATTCCTTGGAGGATGAAGACAGCATGAAAACATAGGCAAAAAGACAGATCAATTCAAAATGCTCTGTAAGGCTAATGCTAGCATAGCAATGGCTCTACTGAGTCAAGTTCAGCCAACAGAAACCTGGCAGATCAGGTGACCTTAACACCTGCTGAAGGCTCAGCCGATGCTTGTGGCAAATCTTATACAGGACATGTTATTTATGTTGCTTCTGCCTGCATAAAGCCTGATAACCTGTTTAGATGGACCTCTGCAATCTGCAAGTCGTTTTGCAACCCACCTCCACACCAGCTGCTCCATTCATACTTAATTTAATGTTTGTTGTCTCTGCTGTTCCAAGAGGGAGTCTTGCTGCTCCTCGTCCCGCTTTTGCCTTTCCACATCAAAGCTGCATTGCCAAAATAATTACTAGAGATGGAATGATATTTGCCTTGCAATTGAGAACAATAGCAATTTTGAGGTCAATATCTTGCTCAGCACATTCAGGAGGAATGTGACCTGCTCTGTACTATATGCAGGAGTTGCAGGAGACAGATGTCTTAAAACTGAAATAGAAATGTGACCCACCTGGATGGATCACTACTGAATCTTAATTAAGAAGCATTTCTTCATCAGTTTTAAAGAGGTACAGAAACAAAAACCCTGACATCCATAAAAAGTGTGTCACAGCAAGAAGTTAGACCTGACCTTATTGCAGTGTATCACTCTGAATAATTAGGCAGCAAATCATTTGATAACTGGTTCATAATTAAAGAGAATCAAACTCATCTAAATGTAGTCATTGCCAACTTTTTCCCAGAAAACAACAGTGTCTTTAGTTGTAATGTGAAGTTCACCAACTTTTATCAAATAAAATAATCAGCAGTTTTTACACAAATTTCTTAACTGGGAAACAAAGATTGCATCATGTCTGAATACTGCTCCTAATGGAAGTCACTGGTTATTTTTAGTCTTGTTTCTAAATGTCTGTGTATAATAGCAGCAATAACAGCTGTAATAATAGCAAGAAAGTCTCCCCCACACAGACCAAAGTATAAGCGAACTGTAAGATTTTTTTTTTTGAACTAAAATTAAAGGTGAGTTCATAACTTCTCCTCTGGGTTGTTGCTGTGAGTCATAGTTTGTATTTGGAAAGCCTGTGCTCTGACACTAGTCCTCTACTAAGTCTAAATTTAGTCTACTCAAGTGAGACAAAAACAGATATTTGCCAGTGTCTTTAACTTGAATATGATGACATGATACATAAATATAGGTTTCGATGGGTTCAGATTTTTTGATTACAATCTGATATAGGTAACAGGAGGTTCAGTGCTTATTTCAATAGTTTAGAGGTTGGTGCTATCCCTAATATGTGATGCTCTGCTCATGTGTCTTTTTCCTGATGTGGGAAGATTGAATAGGTGATGTACAGGGTTGGAGGGGTCAATGATGATGCTTCCAGCCTTCCTGGTGATTCTGGTGCCATAGTGTGAAGCTATGGAAGATAGACCTCAACCAATGACCTTGAGGGCTCTACTTACTACTTTTTCAAGCAATTGTTTGCCCTGATTGATTGTGTTACTATACCAAGTCAGGATGGAGAAATTAATCCATAACAGTTCTATACAAATGAATTATACTTTCCCAACTAACCCTGTATTTCCTTGGTTGGAGGAAATAGAGCCCCAGGTGCGCTTTACTAACAATGTGAAACAGTGTTTAGGTCCCATGATGACGACTTGTATAGGCACATGTAGCCTCTCAACAACTGGCCCGTTGATAGAGAAAGAGATGTTGAAATGCCTTCTTTATAAGGCCAAAAATCAGCTGTCTGGTATCCGGATTTGATCCAGATTTGATATAGATGCATATGTGACCTTTTAAAAATGTATTTATTGAAATTCAGCTTACGTAAATAAGTGATTTAATACAATGCACTCTTTCAGTGTAAAATTATCACTGCTGGATTTCTTTTTTATCAATGTAAGAGGATTTAAGCAGGTTTAATACTGTAGCTGGTCACCGTGGGACCAACTTTAATAGCTCAATGCATCTTTGTGTCATTTAATCTATAACAATACATATATAATATTTTAAACAATGATATGAGAATTAACAAGGGTATGTTGTGAAGTAAAAAGCGAATCTTTCACTATTAGAAACCAGCATAATGCTAAAAAATGCACTTAAATTCAATAAGTGCTTACACAAACGTGTAATGATTGCAGCCTAGGACCCATTGAGCAGCATTTACTGACCACAGAGGTTAACAAACAATAGTCTCTTCTCATTTAATTATCATATAATAATGGCTGACGTTATTAACACTTCAAATACACATTAATATCACTGGCGTTACACTGATTTTAAGTTGGCGGACTTCTCTGCCCCACAATGCAACTTGATGTTAATGTTTTGGTGACGTCAAGTGTAGCTGGAAGCGAAAACAGCCAGTGGGTGGGCTGGGCAGTGGTCCCTTCTTTTAGTGGTTTTACATCGAAAATCACGCCGATACGATTATTTAATGCTCGTGTACGAATGTGCAGGCTTAACAGCATGAGTTAGAAACTGCGCTGCGTGTGCGCCAGGTAGGTGGGTGTTGTTTTAATGCTCTGTTTTGGCTGTCCTCGTTCGGCTGTCAGTCTGCGCTTTGTGCTGTGTGGCTAGCTTAATTTAGCTTAGCTTAGCTTAGTTTACAGGGCAGCAGCACCAGGCATCCTGGCGCCTCCGGGGCGCCTGTGAGCGGCCAATGAGGTCGCCTGTTAATGGCCACAGCAAACAATTAGGTCCCCTATCTTTTTTTTCTTTTTAAAGAAGGATTTGCTGATAGCTTTGGTTGTTTCTGAATGTTAGGTCAAAACCAGAGGCTGACTTTAGTGTATGTTTGTGCATGCTAGCCTGCGGAGGAACAGTTATAGTACATCAAGTCTTATATATAAAGCAATTAGTCTATTAGTCAACCACTTAAGAACAAACCACACGATTATATTATGTTCAGGTGAAGACATTTATACATTTGGAAGTAATTCATGGTGACTGTCTTTTTAAAAAGGCTTCTGTTTAATCCATTGCACTAATGTATACTAAGTAATGGTTTCTAAGACAAACTGAACTCATTCAGCCTTTATAATTTGTTGTTTCATTTCTGTATGGAGCCTTATGAGGCTCGTCAGATAACCTAAAGAGGCTAAATGTAATTATGAGTGTACTCCTCTGAACTCTCTGGCTCATCTTGCATCTTCTCCCCACTCTTAGTGCACTGAAACATGGGTCGTTGCAGTGTCCATGTCCTGCTGCTGCTCTCGCTGCAGACTCTGTCGATATCAGCTGAGGGTCCAGGTATTGTACTCATGTGCTTTTTCATTTATTGTTTGTGAGACTGCTTCTCGCTGCTTTGTGCTCAAGCCTGAATATTAAATTGCTGGAGATTGTTTATTTGTAGTAGAAAAATAATACCCGGAACAGGTATGGTCTTTAATTTTATGTGTGATATACGACAAAAAAATAAATAAATAAATAAAATTTTTACAAGTGATGTACTCTGGATTTGGAAAAAAAAAAAGAAATTAAGATGTAAGCTGATGTGTGGCTGGAGCTAACTGTCACAGACTGATAGCAGACTCACTCTCTTAAGGCAACATTTACTTAAGTGGCAATGTTGTACTCATTTTGTAGCGAGAAAATAAGTGACGTCAGATCATTTTTATCTTATTGAATAAAACGGATATGACAAAGTTTAAATTTGATGACATAATTTGCAGTTAAAAACATTTGAGAAGTTGCAATATATATCACTGTAACACTCAGCAACCCAATAATTAAAAACCCAATAATATATTGTGGGTTTAAAGTAATGTGAAAATATTGTATCACGGGGTGTCTGGTGATGCCCACCTACCTTCTATCTCGAACACACTGAGAGTCCATTACCTATCTTTTATTATGTCTTTTGCTTTATTAGAACCTTTTACCTTTAATTCAAAGTTAATATTGTGAACTTGCATCCTGTTATTTACAGATGGACAGCTGCAGTGTGCATGTGAGGGTCCTAAATGCCTCCACCCCACCCGGTGCCAAGGTACCCAGTGCTTCTCTTCAGTCAAAGTTAGTAAGAGTGGAGTTTTTTTTGAGCGTGGCTGTTTGGACGACGCGGACCAAATCCTTCTCCAGTGCTTCACAGCTACGTCCTACCACCAGGCTATTCAATGCTGCTCCCTGGACAGGTGCAACAGCAATACCACCAGGGAATATCTGATGTCTCTGCTACCATCAGGTGCTTTATGTCTACAAGGAAATTGGACTGTCCTGTAGCTCTTTTCCTTACTATAAATGTTTTTCCCCAATTTCAAACTATACATATCTCTTTTTTACATTTACCCACAGCCCCAGAAGGTGAGCCAGTTCGATATCGTGTGGAGACATTAGCTCTCTTCGTACTTGGCCCAGTGGTCGTTCTGGCTCTGCTGTCTGTAGTATCTGTGCTGGCTTGCAGAAGGCTCCATCATGGACGTCTGCAGAGACTGCAGGAGTTTGACGCTGAGCAGGGAGCCATAGACGGTCTCATCACTTCCAATGTCGGAGACAGCACTTTAGCGGTAAGAGTAACAGAGATAACCATGAAAAGGGATTTGGCCAAAGCAAGAAGAAGGCCCATCTCACGCTTTGTGTTCTCTTCCAGCCTCTGAGTATTGGGATATTTTTCACCTTGAATTAACAGTTTTTGTCAGAAGTGTACATACCCCTATGGGTATTACCTTTATGGTAATCTTGGCTTTTAATGATTCCTTGGAACTGTTCTTTCTCCAGGGTGGAATAATTGTACAACATAGACATTTAATGACTTTAAAGAACAAGAACTAGGTGCACAAGTCTGAACTTATTTTGGGAGTTTCTCTAAACTACACAGTCAAAACTAAAAAAGTGTAGTAAAAGTGAGCCTTTCAAACCTAAAAACACTGTGACAACTGCCCAGCATGGAGCTGTCTTGTTGCCTATAGTATTGGTACATTGCACAAAGTGGATGGAATAATGGAGGACAATGACTACCTGCCAACTGTGCCAGTTCTGCAGAAAAAGTGGTGAGATATATTGCCAGAAACATGTAAATGACTACCAAAAGGTTCTGGTCTAGATGTAACTTGGGGCTTAAATCTGGGGCTCTCCATCATTTGACCCTAGAACTGAAGAAGCTTCTCGGATGAGAGGTGAAACATCTTCAAGCAACTTAAAAAAGTCCAGACCCTTTTCTTTCCAAGCTCCTTAGGCTACGATGACCTGGATGAATGAGAACCTTCACAGATATACTTTTCACCCCATGCGGATTTTAGAAAATCCAATTAAATTGAAACTTGTGAACCCAATTCTTGAAGTCATTAAAAGTCCAAAATTGCCATAAAGTTCATGATTTACATACACTGATGAGTGTATGTAAACTTCTGATCACAACTGTAGCTTTCAGCAAGCATATTAAGCATACACCTGTATATGACTCTACATGCTAGTTACATTTGACATGTAAAGATTTTTGTTATTTTTAAAAAAAAAAAAATCTTTGCAAACGAAGCTAAAATCAAATCTGTCTATCTGCAGGACCTGTTGGATCACTCATGTACGTCCGGAAGTGGTTCAGGTCTTCCCTTCCTTGTTCAAAGAACTGTGGCCCGACAGATTAGTCTGATGGAGTGCGTAGGTAGGTATAACACGTAACATTTCAGATTCATATCTGTTTGACTGGCAGTTCTGATAAGAGTTCTACTGAAAAGCAAATTGTTCAGATGACATGAAAAAAATCCAAAGTCATGACACATAAGTTATTCATCACGAAAATAACAAATTCTTATCATTAATCAGGAGGAAAGGGATATATTCACACATTAGTTAGTTTCCCAGAAGCGAGCATGCTTATAATTAACGCCACAGGCGATCCTGACTACAGTCATGACTGTACATATCCGTGGAATCTGAGTGATGTCAAAGAGACGGGAGGTCAAATCATCTGTGACTTACTTCAAGAAACTGTCAAAACATTTTATCAGTTCCTTTTTTATTTGTGTGAGTTGTTGACCATGTTCAAAACTGTCACCTGTCAGAAGTTAAAGATAAAGATAATGTCACTGTAAAAAGCACTATAAAATCTGACAGATTTTGATGTAGCTTTCAAATAAAAGTATGTAGGTTACTTGTCTTGGGGTCCTTTTTATATACCACAGTATCATGAACTACAGCTTGTAAGAGTTTGGTTTTCAAGTTTGTGGCTTTGTGCACAGTTGAGCTTTTGATGTGGAAACATCAAATCTGGGCCAAAAGAATCTCACTGCTGTAGCAATGGAATAGAGTAAAAATTCACCCCTCAAATTTTAAAAAGTAGACAGTGATTGTCTTTTTAAAATGCATGTATCTGTATTTTTTTCTTTTCTGACTTCCTGTTTCTTGTGTCCTCTCCTCTTGTGTTCTCTTTATTATACATGTATATTTTTTCCGCCAGGCAAAGGACGATATGGAGAGGTGTGGCGAGGACAGTGGCAGGGCGAGAATGTGGCTGTGAAAATCTTTTCCTCGAGAGATGAGAAGTCTTGGTTCAGAGAGACAGAGATCTACAATACAGTGCTGCTGAGGCATGAAAACATACTGGGTGAGTCTGTTACGCTTAATGTTTTGGTCTTGCTGACTGTCCCCAAATTTGGTTAGGCTAACATGTGTGTTTCCTTGCATAGTAATGGCAGCTCCTAATTTTAACCTCAGCTTCCCTGAACTGGAGAATCTCTCAGTTTATTTTAAAGCACTAAGTCACGGAAATCATGATGTCAGCGGGACGGCTCAGGTTAGAGCTACTGGGATAGTGGATATATTAAACAAAGGGATCTTGAATATGGAGCTGCTAGGCTTGAGGAAAAGTGTAAAACCACGAAGATTCATTAATGCAGAAGAGGAGGACATGCAGAGGGTTGGTATGACAGAAAAGGATCCTAGGGACAGAGTGAGATGGAGGTAGAGGAGTCGCTGTGGTGACCCCCTAAAGGGACCAGGAAGTACAAGATGATCTGTGAAAGATAATACAAAAGCATTCAGCAAAATGCAACAGTAATAAGTGTGATTGATGCCAGAGGAACTTGACTTACGTCTGAATCAATAATACACAATTTCATATTACCTTTCACCTTTCTGTCCCTCAGGGTTCATGGCATCTGATATGACTTCTCGAAACTCCAGCACTCAACTGTGGCTCATCACCCATTACCATGAAAATGGTTCGCTTTATGACTACTTGCAGCGAGTCGCAGTGGAGACATCAGAAGGTCTGGCAATGGCTGCATCAATAGCGTGCGGCCTGGTGCACCTGCACACGGAGATCTTTGGCACAGAGGGAAAACCGGCCATCGCACACCGGGACCTGAAGAGTAAAAATATCTTGGTGACCAAGGAGCTGCGGTGCTGCATCGCAGACCTTGGTCAGTCACTTTTCTGCTTTTTGTCTCCTCCGAACTGTTGGGATTTTCACCTATTTCAGGGATTCAGATAAACTGTAGGCATGTGATTCACCAGTGCTACCTGCTCAAAAGAGTAAACATAAATTGATTAGATACTAAAAGTACTAAAAAATCATACGCTCATTTCAGGAGACATCAATTTCAGGTCCTGTTATAACACTGTGTGTAACTGCATGCTACAGGGCTGGCCGTGACCCACTCCCAGGCAGACAATCTGCTGGATGTGGGCAACAATCCAAAGGTTGGCACCAAGCGCTACATGGCACCTGAAGTGTTGGAAGAAACCATTCAGACAGACTGCTTCGATGCTTACAAGCGAGTGGACATATGGGCCTTTGGACTGGTGCTGTGGGAGATAGCGAGACGCACGTACAGCAATGGTGAGTGTCATGCACATAGTGCACTGCTGTGGACGTTACAGAGAGTGGTACGCTAATGTGATCACGATGCACTCCTTCATACATAAAATTCCTGCTGCTTGTAATACAGTCAAATACTATGATGCAGTGCGGTGATCTGTGCCAGGCCCTCTGGTTGTCTCTTCATTCCTTGTTGTTTAACTTGTCCTTAAATTTTCACTAATTTTTCTCATTCAAATTCCACTTTCCAGGCATTGTTGAGGAGTACAAACCTCCGTTTTACGATCAGGTGCCAAACGATCCCAGCTTTGAGGATATGAGGAAAGTAGTGTGTGTGGAACAGCAGAGGCCTTTCATTCCTAATCGATGGTTCTCTGATCCTGTGAGTAAGAATCTTTTTGTGTGTCTGTCTGCAATATTTTGTCTGTGTGTCAACATATTTGTCAATAGGATGAAGGCGTTCAAAAAGGCAGATTTTGGCCATGTGGTAATTATATAGGCCTTCTGTGATGTTTATGACAAATACTGACATGAGACACTTTATTTGCAGTAACATCTACACTTACTGTCCATTTATATCGAATTGGACCCCTTTGAACAGAATTCCCTGAGATCTTTGAAGCACAGATTAATGGCCCAGAGATTTTGGTCCATGTTGAAATGATAGCGCCACACACCATATGTGCTCAGTTGGATTGAGATCTGGTGTCTGTGGAGGCCATTTGAGTTCAGTGAAACGAGTAGAACTGCAGAAATTGAGACTCGTCAGATGAGGCAACCTTTTTCGAGTCTTGATGGTGCGGTCTTCTGCTGTTGTAGCCCATCTGCTGCAAATGTTGATGTGTTCTGACGTGCTCTTCTATATACCTTGGTTTTAACAGCCGGTTATTTGAGTGACTGTTGATATTTGATCTTTTTATGTCATTTTCTTTAAACCATAGAGATGGCTATGCAAGTTGTTGTTACCAGTGCATTTGGTACCAGTAATCATGTTCAGAGTCTCCTAAGTCACCTTTCTTCTAATGCTGATGCTCAGTTTGACCTTCAACATGAAATCTTGAACATGTCTGGATGCACTCAGCTCCTGCCACATGAGTGGCAGATTAGATTGGCAGGTTGCATTAACAAGCAGTTGTACAAAATATCTGACATTTTGTCTACTCTCAGCTTTACTAGACAGACAATTATACTTTGCTTATACTAAATTTCTTCAGTCTTCATTATGTATTATGGGTCTAATAGTTAACTAGAGGCATACAGCTGTGAAACAGTCCATCAAGTATATTGTTGTTGTTTTTTCTGCAATTGCTTAATAGCACCTGTATATGATGACGAACCAACTACTCTTGCTCTTATTTTATCCATGACTCATGAGTGCCTACATATGTGATCATTATCTGGTGATGGGCCAACATCTGAAAGTGCTTGCAGTCACATTGATTCTTTTCAGAATGGATTCATCACTGTTTTTATTCATTCTTTCTCCCTCAGACTCTCTCTGCTCTGGTGAAACTAATGAAGGAATGTTGGTACCAGAACCCCTCTGCCAGGCTTACAGCACTGCGCATCAAGAAGACCCTAGACAAGATTCACAGCTCTCTGGAAAAGGGCAAGGAGTCGTGAGAGGGTGCCATGTTTCAGAGGCAGCTGCCTGGTGTCAGGGATTGGCTTCAACAAGACTCCCAGTGTTTTGTTAAAAAGAGAGAGGGAGATTAGGCAGATGGAAAGAGGACTAGAGGAAAGAGGTGTTCCAAGAGTCATTCAGCCTCATCCTTCTCTCACTTTCTCTGTGGATGCCTTCCACCAACATGTTTGACTTGAAGCCCACACAGACATTTGGACTTGTCGTTTCTGAATAAGCCAGCCTTTGATATGAGGCAAACCAATTGCCAGTGTGTTTCCACCAACTTGAACTATGGACTGTTACTGAGTGTGACTGGCTGGTATATTATAGGAACCCCATCCCAATGCTTTAATGCCCATGCGGGACTACACTGGGTTTTGCCTTCCAGTACAAACACTACAAGACTGAGTGTCTACTCAAATTTCTGATCTCCAGCCTTTTGGCATTCTGCTCAGAGACAATCAGAAATCTATCACCCATTTATTACTATCAGCCATCACCACAGAAACACAATGTTCACTTATAAAAGGAAAAAAGAGCCAATCGAATCAAAATTGTTTTTAAACCTTTTTCTTAAAGAAAAAAAAACACTAGTATGTTATTTATGTATTGAATCACCATTGCTACCACACTACTGAAGATACAGATTAATGTGCGATGGGTGTGTGAAACTGACTGCATACATATATAGGCATTTACTCTACTGGACTTCCTCTACACATCATCATTATTTGGACAGGAAATGATATTTTGAGAAATAGTGGACAAGGGTAGGGAAGAAGATCAAAACACTACAAACATGTTTATTCTGATGGTTTGTGGACTAGAGAAGCAGCAAGTACCTGCCAATAGGAAGTAGTGTGTAACTTGTGATAGGAATAGGAAATGACCTGATCCTCTGTGTGGCATACTTTATAAACTCACTGTGGCTGATTCTGAAAAAGTCTTCTGCTCAGGCAAGGAGGAATCACAAAAGGTTTATTTGTGTTCTAATGTGCATTTTATTTTAGGAGACTGGAGGTGAAATCTAGTTATGTACAAGTTGCCTGAATAATGGAAAAACAAACACTGTCTTCATTTGGAAATGTTTATTGAAGACTTTAAATTTAAAGTTGCAGGTGTATGAAGGATTTTGTTTTCAAATGCTGGCTTTGTTTTTTTTTGGGGGGGAAAGTTGTTTTTGCCTTTTTATATGTAAACATTTACTGCACTCTTGCCTAATGAATGGGCAGTATGTGCTCTGATTTCTACAAACAAAATTGGAAAGCTTTAATCTGCTACTGCATGATTATACATTCAGTACATGTACACAGTCAGCTGCCGACACCTACTATGGCTACATCCAAATCCAGAACATCTGGCTGGCCACCAATTACAAGCTGTGGCATTCACTGCATAAATGTATCAAACATCAGTTTATCCAGACAACATTTTACCCATACTGTTATACCCATACTGTTATACCCACCTGCCCTCTAGTGGCACTCAAACACCATATGAAGGACAGTCATTGTTCATTTGTTTCCTCTGAGAAAGTGGAATTTTTGTCTTTTCAAGCTCTAAAACCTGCTGAATATTCTATAGAATATGGAGTGCATCAGACTAAGGCTACTCTATCAGTGCAACTAACAAGGGTAGTTAAAATATTTAAACTGGAACTTCACTTCCGCAGCTTGCTAAAGAAGATATCTGTCTGAAAGTAATGCTTTGTATAAAATGAAACTACTTTGTCTTTTCTTTTTTGCAAGACTGGGTTTTGTGGCTTGTGTGACAAATAGTGTTTCTTGAGTGAACCGTCAGCTCTGCACCAAATGTGTGAAAAGCACCTTAACTGCACACACACACGCCATATAGGGTTGAGGTTGTACCGGTAACTAAAGTTTAACTCGAGCATGACCTCTGCGTACATCACTGCTTCAGGTTGTCTGGTAAAGTCTTGTACGGGTTGAGGATGCCTTTGGGGTCCAGCATAGCCTTGATGTTACCCATCAGTGCCACAGCCTGGCTCTGTTTACTGTAGTAAATGTAGTTCCTCTTTTTCAGGCCCAGTCCATGCTCTGCACTAATGCTCCCACGACAGCTGGCTGTCCATTCATAAACAAATGGCTCAATGGCAGCCAGGAGAGCAGGGTCTTTAGACGGAGAAGTGACGTTCAGGTGGAGGTTACCATCACCTACAGGATAAGTAAGAGAGAATTGGATGATAGCTGACAGTAGTATGTGTATAGAGTATGTGCAGATCATTTTATCAAGTCGTCTTACCTACGTGTCCGTATCCCACCACACTTTTGGCCCGGTTTCCCAGATGCTTCCTCATGTCTGTCACCAGCTGGTAGATCCGTTCCACTGGAAGGGAGATGTCATACTTGTAGGTGAAGCCATCGTGAGTCAGTGCCTCAGTGACACGTTCACGCAGTGACCACAGAGCCTGAGAAAACGGGAGCAGAAAATGTTTTTATCATTTGGCATTATATTTACCTATGCAGTTACATAAAATGATCTTGGATCAATCTTGGAATACTTAAGTTTCTTCACTGTATGCAACAGAAGCATATTTTTCCCAATCATGTCCACCGACCTTTATTTTTGCTTCCTCAGTTGCTACCGTTCCATCACTGACCAGCGATGATGTCATTGCCTCCTCAAGAAAGTTGTGGAGTTTCTGCGCATCGTGGGTCGGGTCAGATCCCGAAGTTTCAATGACGATGTAGAATGGACAGTCTGCACAGCAAACGGAAAGGGCAGGTCTGCGTGTGCTCACTCGTTTTATAGGATCGTTACAGATGTGTGTGTGTGTGTGTGAGAGAAAACGTGCTTATACCAGATATAGGATTGGGTAGTTTGAGATGCGTATTCAGCAGCCTCATACATTCACTGTCCAGGAACTCGAAGGCGGACAGAATTTCTCCCAGCATGCCTTTGCAGAGCTGAAATGTTTTCAGCAGCTGCTCAAAGGTCTCACAACCTAACAGCAGAGATAGACACATGAGTTTTGTTGCTAATCTCCAAGAAAAGCAACGCATTTAATGGTTTACAAAACTTTCTCTATCATCTTTTACAAAGGTATATCTGAGAAGCAAATAGAAAATCCTACCCAGGAAAACAACATTAACAGATTTGGGTTTCCGTGGACAAAGGATGGACACTGCAGTAATGACTCCTAAAGTGCCTTCTGACCCTATGAAGAGCTGTTTGAGGTCATATCCTGTATTATCTTTCCTCAGGGTGGATAAGCAGTCCAACACCTGCCCGTCTGCCAATACCTACATGTGTTACGGATTTGAAAATAAGCTTTATTTTTTTGGGGGGGGGAAGAGTATCAAAAGTCCAGCACTCACCAATTCCAGACCCAACACAGTCCCGTGTAGGGACCCATACCGCAGCAGCCGGAGACCACCTGCATTGGTTGCTACATTGCCGCCAATTTGGCAACTGCCTTTTGCCCCAAGATCCAGTGGCATTATATAGTCTCTCTCCTCGAGGTAGAAAGACAAGTTCTCCAAGACACAACCTGCCTGACAGGTCAGAACACCTGAGAGGGAAACAAAGTGATCTTTGAGAATTTTCAGCACAAGTAACCATGAATCAAAAACACATTTGTCAGGTATTTGTCAGCCTATGGCAACAAAGTTGAATTCTTTTGAATTCAACTAGTAAACTTACCAGAGATACTGTCAAAGTTAAGGATTTTGTTCATTAGAGAGGTGGAGAGAATTATCTCATCATAAACTGGCACGCTGCCACCAACTAGCCCAGTGTTTCCTCCTTGAGGGTTCACCGCCAGGTTACGACTGTTACAGTAACTATAGGAGAAAAACAAAACATGTGAAAAAGTCTGATGACTAGATAAACACCTTTCTGTTGATTTGGTTACCATCTACCTTAGAATTTGTGATACTTCCTCTGTTGTCTGAGGTCTAAGCAACACTTCACTAGAACCTGCAGGACATATAACAGAAAAATGAGCCATCAACACCAGTAGATTATTATTATGAACTATATTAAGGATTCAATTGTAGCCTTCACCTCTCACAGACTTTAGCCAATCCACATTACTAGGCTCCACCAGATCAGGGTCAACAATGGTTCTGCCTGCTAGGATCTTCCTGAAAAAGGCCAGATCTTCCTCAGTTACTCTGCAGAAAGGCAACCTCTCTGGTGCTGCAGAAGGAGATACTTTAGACCCGTCTGCCCCAGCATGTAGCTTACGAGTGGAGGCCAAAACCTGCTCTGAGCTGCAGGTCAGAAAAGGACTGTGAAAGTCAACAGGTGAAAGAGTGGCTGTAGATCGTGAGAGCATGTTGTAGTCGCACAGACATCTCAGAGCTGTCCTTAGCCTTAGTGCTCTTTTCAAAAGTCCTGCCATGACTGTAGAGACAGGCGGCAACACAAGCTGCAGAAAACAGGTGGGACAACAAGAAGAGTTGGATATTTTTAAAAGCATTTTTATCTTGTAGTGGAGTTGAAAGCTTCTAGTTATTTTGTCTCTAGTCATCTGCAATGTTAGGATTGTTAGCTAGAAGTTAACTGCATTTTCTTTGCTTCAAAGACGCAGAAATAAAAAGCCAACCTTGATTAAACTCTACATTGGTGGCAATTCGTTGCATCTCTTTCTGCATCCATTCATAAACACAAACAGCAATAGGAGATGGAAGATATGAGGTATAAGAGACCTATGAACAGCTTTAGTAAGTGCACCAACTAAAGCTGTCTTTTTACATGTGTTTTGCAGCAAATACGCTTACTTCCCAGCAGCAATGCATCTTATTACCCTCTTTGCATGTTTTCTTCTTGCAAATATCACCACCTGAAGCAGCTGCAACCTCAGTTAGCTTAGCTACTTTGCTTAGCACGCTCCTTTCCGATATTTCCGAATAACGGCTTCATTTACTCACCAGAAGCGTTCATTTAGCAATGTGTGTCTTTTTTTCGCGTCATGAAAGTCACAAAGTTCAAGGGCAGTTCAGTTACATAAACATGGCATATCCTGTGTTTTTAGCTTGCTAGCAAGTGCATGAAGCTGCTTACTGAGGTTGACAGTAAGAAAAAAAGCAGAGAGGAAAACGGACCAATCAGAAGCATGTTTTCAGATTGACGCAATGGATATTAGCCTATGGGTGGGAGCCTTTCTTTATTATTAAACAGAGTGATGACTGAATAATCAAGCTGTGAATCGAGGTTTAGAGAGAAAATAATTAATTACAGACCTTTTTTCATTTGATTAATTTAGAACAGAACCAAATTAATATACTTGTGAATCTAAAACTAATCTATAAAACTCTGGAGCATAACCCCCCCCAAAAAAAAAGAAAAAAAAAAAAAAAACAACCCAGACAACTCAAGGGATGAACCACACATCTTTGTTGCAAGCTTATGGCAAAAGCCCATTTGTTTCCCCCCTTTTTAGTTGATCTGAAAAGATGTCAAAGACAACATTTTACAGGCATAAAGTAGTATTTCTGCATCAAAACGATGATTACAGTGTCCTTTTCATCTTACATCATTCATTACTTTTATTTGGTATTTAGAGTAAAATTACAGTAAATAAG